GCAACGTTGATTCTCGTTAGATTACCCAGAAATTCCTTAAAGACCACTTGACGTCTCATTGAAACAATACGAGTATCGTTCGAAAAGAGAAGAATTCCTGTTAATGCAACGAGCAATTCCTGTCGTGGCGTATTCAACAGGAATTCCTGCTGATCCAACAGAAAATTTTCCTCGAGGTAGAATGTCACATACGGAAGCTTATTCTTCGAAAGTCTTATACCTCAAAATTTAAGATGTCTCAATTTCCCCCATTTGATTTGAATTAATGGTGCAAACCTTTCACGATATACGGAGTCACGATGGTAACTATGTTACATACACTATTCACTAGAGGGTTAGGCCTCCTGCGACCACTTCATAGTGTAACCCCCCGAAGCGTTTTGCACCTCAGGCGTAATGTGTTACGCGTTACTCTCAGTGTTCGAAACTCACAGGCGCCAACGCGCCAAATGCGCCTAAAAAATCGGCCATGGCGCCTAAAACATGAAGGCTCTGCCAACGTGGCCCCTAGAAACCGCCTCCTAAAAATCTAGATTTTCATAGGAAGTCACATAAAGAGAGAAAAACAAATCTATTTCACTGAGAAAAAACTATGGCTTATAAACCTATTAGAGGTAAATATGGAACACCACTAATAGTAGTACCTCTACATATAATAATAGCACATATACCTTAGTTATGGTCTCTGTACCTTAATTAGGTACAGAGACCTTAGTATGGTTCACAGACCGAGAATCATTAGTTTATTTACGACTATTATAGGTGTTCCATATTTACCTCTAATAGGTTTATAAACCATAGTTTTTTCTCAGTGTTGAATTGAATAAACTCAGAATTTTCAGCACTACAAGTGAAAGCTTGCTTTTTCTATTCGTCACGATTTCATTATCAGTGCTTTCGTCTCCCCCAAGTTACAGCTACTTACTAGTTCTGTTACCAAAACATCTTGCGACTAACATATTTTCACTAAATGCGCCGTAATATACAGGCAAAAAGTCAATTTGGCCCCTAAAAAATCTTCAATGGCACCTAAAAATCGGGCTTGATGCGCCACATGGCTCCTTAAACTCAAAGGTGAGTTTCGAACACTGGTTACTCTAGTAATTTTATATTCTAGAGTAAGATAAGGAAAATTAATAAACAATCGTGTCTACTAAGAGTCGTTTTTTTTTATAAAATTCATTATAATTATCAACTCTGCGGCCCGGTGACCTGGTAATGATTTCCGAAAGTTGGAAACGCTGATTATGCTACATTTAAATCCATTATAAACAATCAATTTTGGATTGGGAGGCCTGCCTGGGCGGGACGTATTGCAATCATTTTCCGTTCTTTAAAACTGGCGATTAGTAGCGAGGGAATGCTCAATCATCGATGTTTCCCCATTTGAAGCTATGGTAAAGATCGATTATTAAGGTGTAACCCTGTTTTTCGATATTTTACCATAGGTTTAAATGGCAGATCAATCGATCAAAGCACTAAGCCTATTAATGTCAACTTGGGAGAATCGCCATGGCATTGGCAACCTAGGCGAGCATTATGAGCGGGGGCTTTTAACCTCTTCCTCCGAACGCGTTACGCATCATATTTTAAAATCCATAAAAGCTTTCGGCGGCCAGCCCTTTTTCCCGGGCACCGGAGAGAGGGCGTGAGAGGTGAGATGACTCTCGGCTACCTGTCAATTCCTGTTGTCAGATCCTGTCAACACTTCAGCACTTCGGTCAGCGCACTATCATTGCAACGTGAAAATCGTATGTCCGATACGGAGCTGTAAAAGAAACTGCGAAATCGAGTGAATCGGATACGTCTCCTGGAGGCTTCGAAGAAGAAACGCTTCTGAATGGCACTGAATCGCAAGGTGTTTACTTTTACTTCCTCGCTCTTCTTGTAGTTGGAGGGAGAATTGTATATAAAAAAAATTTTAAAAAATAAAAGAAAAATTTCATCATTTTTAGGCGTTTTAAGGTTCCTGGAATACATAAATAAAAAAACATTCTTGGAAAAAATGTTTGTTCGCCCGGCGTTCTTTATCTCTGTTTACAGTCATATTGCAAAATCGATTTGTCCAATTTGATCCAGAATAGGCATGGAAGACCATATGTATGGTATTATGATGCATGTCGAGTGACTTTAATGCACGCTAAAACTTGGTGGGGGGGGGACGTAATGATTTCCCTTTCATTTTTTAATTGAACGAAGTTTTTTCATTTGCTTTTCGAAACGCACCAACTACGACGGCCGTTCCTTCAAATAAAGATAAAAATACATTTGATTCTACGTCAGTTCGAAAAAATAATGTCATTAGTTCGCATGTACTTCAAATTAATAATCCAAGTATTGTTTCTCGCAGCTCATGGACTTACGTCAAGGGTTAAGTATTCTTAGTGACTTGCATGTATTCTTAACAACCCCTCCCATTGGCGGATCCAGACTTTGTGAATGGGTGGGGGGTAAAAGAGGCGTCTGGGAGGTCTCCGCCCAGAAAATTTTCGAACTCTTAAAGCATATAATATGCAGTTTGTGAATACTTCGTCATGATAATTACGAAATTATATCGTCATCCCTTCTTTTTTACTCCATTCCTGCCTTTCTTCTTTCTTCCTTCTTTTTATCTTCCCCCTTTTTCAAGCGAGTAGGGGGAGCGTACGCCCCCTATGCCCCCTGGATTTTGATATTCTTATTATATAGAGCAACCCCCAGAGAGGGTATTTTAATATAGTATTAGCACTCCGTCCTCCCTCCCCATAATATCTTGGCCTATGACCCCTCCCCGTCCCATTTCCTACTAACACACGTGGACTTTCGTATTTAAACACAAATCCAATTAGTTGACTCATGTTAGAATGGCGTGGACTCAACGACCTCTCCAAGCAGTAAGGCCACGATTTTAATTTTTTCAACACGATAATGCTTGAATAGATCATAGCTGAAGACTCTTTCGAATAAAGGGATAAAGTGATGTTTTCTAAAATAGCCAGAAAGTGTCCATTTTAAGTGTAACTCATTGATTTGAGGGTATAATTTTTTCAACATCGGATAATAGGGCTCACTTGTCTAGCTTACAATTTGAACTGGAACGCATATAAGCCATCAGCTATCAAATAAAACTTATTGTTTTCATTCATGCTGATCGCCCATTAATGTGTGATAAATGTCTCAACATGTAGGATAGTTTAAGTAGAAACAAGGTACGAAGGATCAACACTGCGTATATTAGAGCTTGACGGCTATTTTGCATTTTCAGAGGTCTTCGGCTGGGTAATGCGCATGCGCCATCGCAACTATTTAAAGAGATTAAGTAATACAGCGAGCCTCAAGGCAGTAGCTGAGTGTTTTTAAAGTTTCTGCCCCGTGTTTTCTGCCCCTGAGGCCTTTGAGACAGTCTCATGCTTCTGACGCTAAGTGGATTGAATATAGCTGTTGCCAACATGAATATGAATAAGAAAAGTGCAGATTCAATATGAAACAATGAAACATACTACAAACTCCGCAATAAAGATATTCTCGTTTGAAAAAGAAGAGAAAACATTCAAAAACGTATCGAGCTTTGTGAGGTGGTAGATTTTATGAAGAATCGACAGTTAATTTTTTGTTTGTTTTTTAAAATTTTTAAAGGAAGCAAAACTATGGTAGGCTCTACCTCAAAAGTATTTGAAACTGTTTACTATTCTCGATATGAGTTACTGGGAGGTAACTCATATCGAGTTCCTCGTGTATAACTCATATCAAAAGTCCTTTAAAAAAAGAAAACACCGCTATAGTTGAAATTTCATTTGATTTGTATTCAGAATGTTCATGACGAGAAGTAAAAGTACTGATGAGCGATACAAAGCTAAGAGTCCTTTTGCCATACTTCTTGAAATTTTAAAGTACGGTTAAATCTACCGTAACGCCTCCGATTGAAGTATATCACAAATACCCTTTAGAAATTAAAACTAAACAATGGAAAATGCGCACGAAATTTCTTTATTGCTACATCTAAGAGTCTTTAATGATATGAGCTGTGCTCGCAATATCTTTCATGATTTTTTTTCCCCGATACGGGAAACTTTAAAAAAATATACTTAGAAAAGAGAAAATCTGCAGCCTTGTAGCGTCATCAGGCGGAATTTTCCATTTAAACATATGCACTTTACCAGATTAGGTAAATTGATCATATCTCCTCTAAAAACTGTTCATTTTAGACACCAAAGATATTCTCGTGCTCAGTTAACTCCGCACACTTCCTTCTCGAACATGAAATTTACAAAATTTCAGACACATGCAAATCCTTCATTGAGATATTACTTATTTCGAGTGACATTCGTCTCCGACTATCGTAGAGTGAAACAAGAACGCTGGATTTAATTTTTTTCTTCTTCTTTTTCTTTTTCCTTAATTTTCGAGTTTGCTGCAGCTTATTTGTGCAAGCCCACAAGAGCTTGTACGTAATTTGTCAACCTTGTAACACAGTCTCTTCATCCATGATACTCTTCCACACTAAGAAAAATGACAAAACTTCCTCTCCCCGCAAGGAAAGCGAGAAAGTAAAAAGTGTGGTCATTTTGTATCGTGGTTCAATATTTCATATCAGCCGAGCTATTTGGTTTATGTCACCGTTCTATCTGTAACCAAGTCCGCAGTTCAGGCAACCAAGTTCTTTTTCAAGTTTGGTTCTTTCTACCGAACTATTTTTACAATTCGGTCTGGTCGGAAACTTCAGGAGTAACTGAACTACGGTAACTAAGACCGAAGTACGGCTCATATTGGAGCGTTCACACATTACGTATTGCAATTTGTCGACATTTTTACCCCCTTCCCCTTGCGGCGTGGATCTCTATCCTTTGAAATGTATAAAAACAAAATGGCGTAACGCTCTTTTCACCCCCCTCCCCCTTGGAGCGTTACGTACATAATTTACAAACGCTCTCTATAAAACACTGTCTACCTTGGTGACCACACTTTTTTTTTTGGTACACTTTAGATAAAGAAATAGAAAGACTTGAAAGTGCATAACTTACCTAGCGTTTTTGAAGCCTGCTTTGCCGCAGGTGATGACGTAGAGTTTGTCATCTGCTAGTTCGAGGGTCCTGTGTATCCGAACTGCAATCGGCACTGACCTTTCTTCAGTTTTCTGTTAACAAGCAAAAATGTATCCGAAATTAGTAAAACGGGAGAAAATTAACGTACACATACGGTTTGCAGGTCCGTCGCAAAGAGAAAACGTCACTCACTTAAATAGCCGGCACTCTTTCCGCTGTGGTGTGGGTATCCTCTTATTCGGGTGCTACGAGACTGCATTTGAAAAGTTCTGTGCATTTCCGAAGAACTGAAAGGAGTTGGAGCGCCTTCAATTTTTGAATGGGCAACACGCACATTCATGAATCACGAATAGTTTTGCATCAAGGCGCCGTCATCAACTCACAGTTAGTCTGGCTTTTGTGAGAGACATTTGTCGGTTCGCGAATTGGTTGCTTTTTTAACGACTGACTCCTTGGGCGTAATTTTTAGATCTTTGACCGGTTACTCCGTCAACTGGCTGCAGCTGCCCTTTCCACGGCCTGAGCAAGAGCGTGCACGGAGGAAAAAAAAACACGGTTTTTCGACGGTTACACGGTGGTAATGTCACACGGGATTCCACGGTAGTAGAACCATGGATTTTGGTGAGAGTATTGGTAAGCATAGTAGCATGGCCATACTCGTGGTGGCATTATTGTGCTCACAATAATATTACGGCAAACACAGTAACAGCACCGTGCTCATCATTATGGTCATCAAAATCCATGGTTCTACTACCGTGCAATCCCATGTGACATTACTACCGTGGTAACTGTCGAAAAACCGTGTTTTTTCCCTTGGTGTGGTTGGGTTCACGGACTGGGCAAAAAAGTTTCCCAATCCGCGAACCGGGCAATTTTGCCAACGCGTGTAATAACACTCGCACTGGGAAAAACCCGGCAGTGCATCGACATTTTTCTTAATAGAATTCTTGCTGAATGCCGTGTTTCCAAAAAAGTTTATCGTATGTGTACCGTTTTTTAACGCAAGATTGTTATTTCAACGGAGATTTGTTCTTTCGACAGACTTAAGACTTGCTAAAGAAATACAATAGCATTCCTAAAAAATCATAATTTCACGATTTATCGACTTTTTTTTTTTTAAAAAAAAAAAAAAAAATATATATTTACTTCATTTTTTAAATTTTATTTTTCCAATGAAGAATCATGCATTCTGCATGAAATCGTCTTTTGTAGGTATTTCAGTTGAAGCGTTTGAGAACTTAACAGCAGTTTATGATAGATTTGCGCCAAGTTTCAAACTTAGAATACTGAAAACAAATGATCAGAATTGCAGTCACATTGCCCATATGACAGAAGCGATTCCCGCATGCATTCTCGGCAAGGACGAAATGGAAAATTTTCCTCTTACTGGGGGCGTTGTCCCCCCCCCCCCACTGACGTCGAAAAAATGTGACACCCCCAAGCACGAAGGTCAAGAACCGTAAATGTTGCATGGTATTTTGATTCATACCTTGGCTAGAGGCTCATAAGGTCAATATAAGGCCTGGAGGTCACTCATAACCTAGCAGAAACTGTGAATTTTTAACTCGGACTGAAATTTTTGACAGTGCAGTAAAACGCAGCTCTCTAGAGCATTGACGTATCAAAAGACTCTCCCTCACTTCAAAGTCCTGCCTTACACTAAAAAAAAAATTCTCGGCGTTTTTCCCAAGGTCCGTTGGTACCTTTACCATCTCACTTGTTTTACCAATTATTGGTAATTTTACCAAGACAGACTGGTACACTTACCTAAAAACCGGTTTTTAAACTGTTTTTTTTTCAGGTATGAATACCACTTTTATTGGTTATCAATTCCCGGTAACTTTTCCATTTTATCTCGGTAGGTAATTCTACCACAGTCGATAAAAAATATTGGCGTTTTTACCAAGGTCCAGTAAAATTACCGAGAAAGTTCAACAATTTTACCGAGATTTCTCGGTAAAATTACCAATTCCATAAATGGTAATTTTACCAAGAAAAAACTGGGATCAAATAGAATCCTGAATTCTTGGTAATTTTACCCTTTTCTTAGTAAATACACCGAGATTTTTTTTTCAGTGTTCTATTGAGCGGTCCGGTATCGGCGGCAAGTTGCGAGTATCGAGACGGTCAGCGCAGAACAATCATTTCCTAGCCGAGCGTTAAACGCTCATCTGGATTTGGAATTCGACCAAGATCATTATGCGTCGGGGTTTTCTTCGTTTTTCGTTCCTCTCGGCAACGATTCAATTAACTGCGGCGGCTGGATTCAATGTCCGTTTCGCATGTTGGAGAACAGTGGTCCAGGAGCCGAGATTCGATTCAGTGTTGACAAATTTTTCGTGATATAGACCAATTTTTATTGTCTTCAGTGGTAAAATATGCAATATCCAACGCAAAACGGCAATGGCTCGTCGAATCCTTGAATGGACGATGCTATATGAGAATGGCAAGGATGCTTCGTGAAACAGAGGTGTTGTGTGAGGTTGCCATTACTACAAGTTTTAATGATGCGTTTAACCATTTCGTTTTCGACCCGTGTTTGATTCTAGAATAGGATTGAACGAAGCTCAGCTATTCCTGTTCTTACTATATAAATGAAGTTACCTTCCGGCCGAGTATTTCCTTGGAAAAAATTTATAACTTCCTTGCGGTAAAGTCAAATTAAAGATAATATTAATCCGTCCAACTTATTGGGTACAAATTAAAATTTTAATTGGAGGGGAGTGGGGAATGTCAATACTTAGACTTTCGTTCCCTTTTGATTCATCGTATAGTACGGTTGGAGAAGGTCCGCAGTTCTTGGAAAAACCATTGCATTGCAAAACTAACTGCAGCGAGCTGAGTGTCCGATTCGATTACGGTAGGCTTCCTTTTCCTTGGTGAGCGTAAAGTTTGAATTGACTAAACGAGAGACACTAAATTATCTCTCAGGTTAGAATTGGAAATTTTCAATGTGTTCATATGTATATATTTTACGGGTGATTTTGATGAGAGAGCACACATTGCAATGCTCAATGTTACTGTGTGGTAAATTACTTTAATCGACGCACGGTGGATCGAATCATTAGGACAGCGGGCCGATTATTGATATTGATAGACAAAGCTATAGACAAATATGACGAAAAGGATACGGAGGGAACCTATTGGTGAAAGCTGGTGGTTACAATGGACAAAGGAGGTAGGTAATAGACTAACTAACGGAAACCCACAAGAGACCCGATAGTAAGTCCATCGTTTTCTCCCTTAGTGTATGAGAACCACACATTTCAACCAATAGGATCGCTCCATACTCCCTATGTCTTCTTTGTCTATAGCTTTGTCTATCGATTTCAATAATCAGCCCGCAGGTCGGACAAAATTTGGAAACTTAAAATATTTATAATTCCATTTTTACAAAACTTCGAGGTTCTGAAGGTGGTTCCGTTGGTTTCCGCGTGAAGTTTTCTTCCTCAAGCACCCCTTGAAATTTAAAATGTGACTTTGTAAACATCAAAATTTGCAGTTTCAGTCAAAAATTTCATGACCAACCTCTCTAATTGACTCGATCCACTGAGCGACGCGACGTTTAGCTAGAACAGACAACGATGGCGCTCTTCTATCAGTGGTGTGGCGTGAATTGCGATATATCGATTTTTATGCCATTCAAACCTATAGAAAAGAATCGATAAACAGGGTGTTCGCAGCGAACACCTTAATAATCGATTCTTCACCATGCATAGGTTTAAATGGCATGAAAATCGATTTATCGCAATTCACGCCACGCCACTGTCTTCTATATCCTAAGCCCTTTGAGCCAATCGATTTAAAACAATTTTCCTATGAGATAGCGATACATCGGATTCTTGTATCTCCGTGGCCGATTCCTGTATCGCTGATCTGGCGGTTGGATGGACGATTCTGCCGAGTCATTCTTGAAAAAATAAAGGGGGATCTACTTAATTACAAAAGAAAACAAACGTAAGTACACGGGCTACGCACGCCGAACGAGAGGGGTAGGAAGGGGGGAGGGGGTGCTTGACCTTGCTCCGCGCGTTATTCACCTCCGTCTTAACGCGCACAAACGCGCCATTGCTAGATTTCACAGTACGGATCCGACTTAATGCCCATAGTCGAAATCTCTGTCACGGTGCTTTTATGTTGCAAATTGCAGTGAAACATTTAAATTATACGGCGATCAACATCAGGATAAAATAAAGAGGAAAGAAACGAAACGGATGAAAGAGGAAAAAAGAGAGAGGATTATCCACAGCAAGAATCAACGGGGAAGGTAACTGGCAACTATACTTTCAAGATATTTTACAGATATTCATGTCTGTAAACGCATTCTTCGTAAATAATTCAATGATGAAACCCTCTCTAGGATCTCCGTAAGTGTATTTGGTCGCATGGCCGCTCGCTTAGACCCGTAAGAATTCTGAAAATCCATGATATCGGTGAGAAGAATCAACCACAGTTGGGTCCGCGTGAGGTGCGCAACTAAACTAACTCCAAAGCGAAGCGTAGAGTATATCGTGCGGAAATGAAGGCGCCGTGCGCCGCAATTCCAATGTCTTGCATGAATGATACTGAACGGAATCTGATACTAGCTATTTGATACCCCGAGCTACTGGACTCCGAATTGGATTAACATTTCGCGGCATTTTCGGTCACAAATTGTTCGTGAACCACTCCTCTATATATGTTCTGGTAACAATAACTCAACTTTGATAAGCTTGCAAACTAAGAGCTAATGACCACGGACAGTCCGATACACATTTGGACTGCATTTAGCAATTTGGAACTACAATCTCTGGATCATTTTAGAAACATAATATGTACTATTAGTTTGCCCATGCACATGAGTGTTTTTAAGGATGAGCCAGGCACTACAATTCAGCACAAGGAAGCCCACGAATAATAAAGTTTTTGTTGGTGCAGGATAACCTCCAGATTCCTCCATGAAAAATTGTCCTTCTTCGCGCTGGGGGATCGCGCTTTCAACTAATGTTGGTCAAAAAAATAATTACAAAAGAAGAATCCTTGGTAAAGGGTATTTACTTACTATTGCTCTGAAGATGGTCCCGAGAGGCCGAAAGGTCTTCGGCATGTAATC